CGTCACAGAAGGGATTGACAAACATTTTGAAAAACGATAGGCATTTCCTGCACGCTTGCAGCCGCAATGGATAGTAGTGCAACGAGGTCCTCCAGTGAGTCATATGTGTCGTGCAACGAAGTCCTCCGAGTCTCGTAGATGATACTCTTCAGATGGCCCCATAAAAAAAATCCAAGCTGGATAAATATGGCGAACGGGGTGGTCGTCGAAACGGGTCCACCATGGCCGATCCATCGTCCCAGAAATGTCCCATCCAAGTAATTGCGGTCCCGCACATGGTTTTGGGCTGGTGCACCATCATACTGGAACGACATGCGATCACGAACGACAGCCGGAACATCCTGCAGCAATTTCAGTAGCATCTCTTGCAGAAAAATATGATAGCATAAGCCATTTGTACGCGCAGGTAAGAAGTATGGGCCTATGAGGTAGTTGTTAACAATATGCGCAACACATTCATGGAGAAGTGGGTTTGAAAACCGTGCGGATTATGAGTTGCCCACACGTGCATGTTGTGGCTATTAAAGATGCCATCCTGTGAGAAAGAGCCCTCGTCCGTGAATAACACATCCAATGGGAAATCTGCCTGCGCCGTACATTGCTGCAAGAACCAATGACAGAAATGAACTCGAAGAGGGTAATCTGCCTCTTGCAAGGCTTGGACTGTCTGCAAATGGTATGGGTGCAAACCATTTTCATGCAATACTCTCCAAGCGGTGGAATAACTCAGCTGCAGACGACATGCAATAGCTCTTGTACTTGTCTGAGGTGATTCACGCACAATGTTCAAGATGGATTCTTCAATGCGAGGTTGTCGCACACTTCTTCTTCCACTCCTAGTATCAGAGGTGGCTTCAAATGACCCGTTTTCACACAGACACCGATGCAACCTCTCGAACATTGTGTGCTTCGGCATACGCCTGTTTGGAAACCGTTCCTGGTACAACCGTAGCGCTGCTGTGCTGTTCCCATTAGCAGCACCATACATGAGATGCATGTCAGCTTTTTCTCTGTAAGTGAACTCACCCATCACTCTTGACAGCAGAGTTGCGAATGATCCTCTGATGCATCAGATCGTGGTCTTGTCCGGCTCACTACTGACCTCTACCGCTGCATTACCAACCAATCACAGCTGTAGTTCCTACTACTGTTAGTATTTCCTGTTATTGAACATTTATTGTGAATTCTGTATTGCTGCAAAGAAGCACTTTGCGTTGATTTTGTACATAAACACATTTTCCTCTCGTGTCGTTTTTTTGCATTCCTGCCTTAACCCGTCACTTTAGACCCTACATTCCTATACAAAAAATGAATGTTTTAGTATGCTCCACCACCCCTCCAAGTTTGTTCCATGATCTATGAAACACCATGTATATATAAAACAACTTATCACCTCTAGTGCTTTTGGAACTTATCACCTCTAGCTTATTGGAACCTTAAAGTATATTAACTGTGTTACAATCCCTAGAACAAAGCTATGACATTGACTGCATTAAGGAGAGCCTGACTGACTTTCAACAATTGCCAACCATGCCTACATCAAGCTTTTCAGGTTTGTTCTAATTAACAGGTCTCTCTCTAGACAAGCAGCACCAGTGACAAACATTCAGTCTTTTGTTATGAATCATACTCATTATGATCTTACTTCTCGTTTTAATCTATGCCGTTTGACATAAAATCTACCTGCTATTTACTAAACCTCTATGCTGACTCAGTGTGTGACAAAATGAGACAAAAAAAAAAAAAAAAAAAAAAAAAAATCAACATAAAGCTAACTGTTAGTGAAACGTAAATGTTACTTATCTTCTTTCAAATATGACCAACTATTATAAGTGTAAAATATTTAATGCTACTTGATAAGTTGCATAAAGTTTATTTTATTCTCAAACTTATTAATAATTATGTTAGTTAATTCATGTTTAGTAATGCATACTACTTAGGGATCTATTTTACTTTTAGGATGGTATTACAGAAGTAAAATTCAGGCATAGAATAATATTTTTAATTGAATTTATTCAGTTTCCATTTGCTCATAGGTCCTTAATTTTTTTTCACTAATGATCCATAAATGTCCTTTTCCGTGTGCAGAAATGCATACGAACCCTGTGCTACTGTGTCACCCATGTTTCTAATCCATTCTGGTGATTTTTGAGGACTGAGTTTGCAACACTTTCTTCTAGGATGTTATTACGACTTTACTCAAAGCACGTTTATTCTTTGGCATATTAATTATTGCAATTTCTTTTTCTGCCACTCATGTATGGAACTTTCACCAACACCAAACACCCTTTGCTGCAGTACGATTTCCATTTTCTTTTACAGACTGAATGACTTTGCATTTGAAACCACCACTATTTTTTTGTTTGGCAGGAGCCATATTTACAATTAAAAGGAGCACTAGATCAACTGTATTTCAACTAAAGGTACTAAAGCCTTTGATATTTATTTTAAAATCATGACTTCAAATGATCCATAAATTCATTCGAGTCAGAAGTGCATTCTTACACCAAATTATGCCCCCTTTTTCTCAAAACCCTAAAAGAACATTCTTGTGAATATCTGCATTGAATACAACTCAGTTTGTCGAATTATTTACTCCCTCAAGCATTTCACCTCCCACACATATTGTTCTCCTTATTGCTTGTCAATTCGGTATACCATTCTTTGAAAGCCTGAGAAAAATCTTCGAATGAATGACTTCAAAAGATAAGATGAAATTATGGGTATGTGTTATATGCCGGAATATATAATAAGTAGCATTATAATGTAAAACTAATCTGAGGTTATGATATTGCTAAAGTAGGAGCTTTGGAATTTATATGTTAACTTGGTTAAGAATTGAACATAAACAATCTAACCTTACTTTTTTTTGGGGGGAGGGTCTTTGCTTCAAACTTTATTCTTATATAAATTCATATCGAAGTTACCATTCTTGCACCAAGATATGCATTTACTTTGTCTAAATACTGATTATTGTGGTCTGAATTTTTTTTTTTTTTTTTTTTTCAGTTTAAGTTATTTGTAAAACATTAAGATTTCAGAAGATATATCATTGTTTTTTCATAAGGAGGGAAAAAAATTATATATTCCCACATGTAAAGGGCGACTGGGGATTAGGGGCCCTATTGCCAAGTAATGGTGGTGATGAATTATCATCTAGCACCTTTTAGTTCAGGTGCTCTGTTTTTATAAGATTCATAAGTGTTTTTTATTTTCTATTTTTATTTATTTATTTTTGAAGCAGGTGATGTGAAAAATATGGAGTTCCCTCTCTGAAACTTGAACTCTGGACCTCTTGAATATGCATTGAGTATGTTTCTAATTATGCAATTAAAGCATGCAAAAAATGAGGGAGAAAATACCTTATATACTGTACCATGATGAACGCACTAAATTGGAATTCATTTGTGTAATAACTTTTCAAATGTGATGCCAGATGATATTTTAACTTAGTTTGATTTTAAAAGAACTTTGCTTGCTATTATTTCAAAACAAAAATACACAGCAAATAACTCTTGTAAATCTTAATTTGTCTAAAAGAAGATAGCATTCCAAGATTTTATGGATATTTTTTCCATTGCTGATTAATTTTTATTTTTTTAAACTGTTAAATTTATTATATAGATACATTTCACATATAAATTTGTGAGGAAAAGAATAAAGGTATAATTAAAAGATACAAATGAAAATTCTGCATAAAGACACTAGAGTGGAGCGATTAAAAAAAATTTTTCCCCCCTTAATATTTAGTTGCCTAAATGTAGAAAAGTTGAATTTCTTTGAACAAGTTTAAAGTGCTAAATTTCTCTCCAATTAAGTTTGACCATTGGCAACCAAAATTTTCTTAAAAATGTCACCATTAAACCTATTAATTCAAAACTAGCATTAATTACTATTAATATTCTACATATCTTCTGCTCAGAGTATCAGATTTTTCAGTTTTAAGTGAAGTTATGTAAGCCATTTGGGTGCATGGATCCAGATGAATACCTCAGCCATATTATACTTGACCCTGATCTCCAGTGACCTTTTTTATGGGATTTTTCTAAAATTCTGTTAATTGAACTTTAATACGATTCCTAGAACTTGCATGTAATGGTATTGGTGCGAGACTAGTCTTAACATGTTTATGCATCTATCCCACACAGTACTGGTTAGTCTGATTCAGTTGCTTGATTGATACAGGTGTATGTTTGCAGCATTGCTTTTGCATGAAAGATATGAAGAGCAATCATTTTCTTTTTGTGGAGAGAGGATGTAAAAATTTCAGAAATTGTTCAACATCTATGAGGAGTTTTTTGCACTTATATTTGAAAGAAAACCTTTACAGGTTGTTCAATTTGAGAATTTAACAATGCCATAAATACGTGGATGAAGAGACATCGAAAAAGTTCTGGGGATGGTTTAAAAAGTTAGTTTTTCATTGGGATAAGTGTATTCAATAATAGGGGTTATATTAAAGAATTACATTGTAGAAAATTGATGAAATAAAATTATACCTAAATTCCTAGAACTCCCTCGTAGATATATCCCTTGTATTTCATTTGTTGTACAGTGTGAAAGCGCTGTATCTGGTACTTTTAGTAATATTTTTAAATGAAAAATATTTTGATTTGTAATATATGCAAATTTTTAATATATATAAGAAGTTTTTGAGTTTTTTAATGTGCAATATGCAAATGAACTTTGTTTTGAAAGTTCTGCTCAAAAACTTCCTCCTTAAGGGCAGATAGCCCTTGTGAAATATGTTATAATATCCAGCCAATTAAAAATTGGTAGTTATGTAGTATGTGTTGGTTTTAGTTGTTTATTTTTAGTTGGTGGCACTAAAATCAGTTGTTGTTTCAATCATTTCTTTTTCCCACCATTTTATGGATTGTTCAAATTTAAGTGACATTTTAATGCACCATATAAGAAATATATAATTGACTTAAAGTGACAAATCATGTACTGCATGATTATCTAAAATATTTTGGAATATTTATACACTTTTCTTTTAGATGTCATTCTTCCAGCAACATGGATGTGCCTCTCAAGATGCCCAACAGAAGTACAATAGTCGTGCTGCCCAGTTATACAGAGAAAAGCTTCATCATCAAGCTGCTGCTGCAATGAGGCTTCATGGCACAAAAGTATGAAAATTTACTTTTAAAATTTGTTAGTATAATGCATTTTGAATCTTTGTTTATTTTAAAAAAAGTATATTTATTTTACTTGCCATCATTCATGTATTGTTGACATATTAAATTTTACATTTAAATCCAGTTTTGTAATAAAATAGTAATAAATAATTTTTCTGGCCCTGAGGAATTTCAGATGTGTGCAGTTTGAAAATATTTTTTATTTTTCGTTAGTGAAATATTTGAATGAATAACTTGCATTTGAAATTCCTTTAGGTATTGATTGGCCATTCAAATAGGCAGACATTAAAAATATAGTACCTCTTTATTTTTAGGCAGTAAAGTATCGTATATTGCAGCTAGATCTTTCATAAAGTACACTGCTGGCCACTGTAAATGCAACACCCTGAAGGAAGCATGCAAATAACATAAAATTTACAACATGCATTAGTGGAGCTGAGATAGCAAATGATTAGAATTTCAGCATAGGCGCACATCACGTGCACCTGTGGCGCCACTTCAAAGCGCTATTTAAGGCTTGGAGTTTTCGACGATTTCAAGTTTGGCAATTGTGTTTTTCTTGTGGTTTTTTCAAAAAAAGATCAATTATGCCTCGTAGTAAACAGCGATCGTCGTTTGATCAAGTGTCCGGGTTCGACAGAGGAAGGATAGTGGCCTACCGAGAGTGTGGATTTATCTTTTAGGGAAATCAGTAGTAGTGTTGGACAAAACCAAACAACTGTAATGTGGATATGTGACCGTTGGATGCAGGAGGGTACGACGGACTGACGTGTTCGATCGCATCTACTTAAATGCACCACTTCATGTGATGACAGGAACATTGCGCGCATGGCAGGACGGATCGCTCAGTCACATCACGAACCATAGCACAGCACATTCAATCTGTAATGCATCATCCAGTGTCTGCACATACCATTCGGTGCCGTTTACAGCAGAGTGGTCTGTCCGCAAGACGTCCATTGCTTCATCTACCCTTGATGTAGAACCACAGACGTCTCTGCCACCAATGGTGCGATGAAAGGAGGATGTGGATGGCAGAATAAAATGAAATTGTTTTTACTGACGAGTCACGCTTCTATCTGCAATACTATGATGGTCAGATTCGAGTCTGGAGACACCATGGCGAGAGAGGATGCTAAACAGCTGCGTTATGCACTGCCACACTGGTCCTGCACTGGGTATTATGGTATGGGATGGTATTGGACATCACTCTTGCACTCCTCTGATATGCATTGTTGGTACTTTAAACAACCAGCGCTACATCTCCGAGGTGTTGGAGCCAGTTGTCCTTCCTTACCTTCAGGGCTTGCCCACAGCCATATTTCAACATGATAATGCATGACCACACGTGGCACGTATTGTCCAAGGGTTCATCGTCAATCGCCAGATTGAATTGCTTCCCTGGCCGGCTCTATCTCCGGATTTTTCACCGATAGAAAACATGTTGGCCCATGGTTACGATTGACCCAGATTACATCCCAAGCTGCCACATAAGATCAACTTTGGCAACGTGTGGAAGCTGCTTTGTCTGCTGTACCTCAAGAACACATCTAAAGCTCTTTGAATCAATGCTGAGGCATGTGGCACCGGTGATCTCCAACAATGGTGGCTAATCTGGCTACTGATTCTGGAAGGAACCACACTTCACAGAAGTCTATAAATATAATCATTTGATACTTGGTCAACATGTTATCTACTAAATAAATTTTGTTATGTCTCTTGTCTTTCTTGGTATTGCAATTTGGGTGGCCAGCAGTGTATTTTTTCATGAATCCTTCTAACAACATTTTTTTTTTTTTTAGTCTTCAGCATAGACACTTCTGTAGTTCTCTATCATGAAAAATCACTTTTCATTTGATACTTTATTTATAATTTTTTTTTATCTGCAAGATATACAATACATGAAAGATTTTATGAAATGAATATTGTTTGTACATTTCAGCTTCATATTGACATTCCACACACTGAAACACCAGCATCTCCTGAGAAAGGAGAACAAGACTTTTTCAAAGATATTGCAGAAGCCCATCTTTACCATAAAGATACTGAAAACTCTAGGAAAGAAGAATTGCAGAATGGGTCCTGCATTAAAAATTCAAATTCACAATCCAACTTTCAAGACACTAGTAAGTAATATATATTGAATTTGATAGCATGAATTACATTACGTAAAAGGTAAAAAAAAACTCCCTTGAATATACCCAGGATTGAAAAAAATTTTAAGTACAGCATATTTAAAAAAAATATATTGTTTTTGAATGACAGATTTATGGACCCTAATTATGAAGTGCTCCAAATAAAGTAAGCTTTCAGAATACAACACATTTGAAGTTTTTTAATAAAAATATACAGAAATATACTTAATTATGTACAAGGAATATACTTACATTTTTATTAGAATGCTTAGGAAAGGGGCTAATCAGAGTTGGACCCATGAGATTACAGTATTTCGTTAAAATCAGTGCATATTTTTCTCTTTTATAACAACTATTTTAGGTGGGTGGCCGTGCAAACAGCTAGTTGAATAAAATGGAAAATTGTGAGGAATTTGAATATGACTGTCACTAACTCATATATGTATGAAAGCAGTGAAATTAATTGTACCTAGCACTGCCCACGCCATTAATACTGCTCAAATCCTTACTCATCATATGTAACCACCCCCTTTCCTGCTCTATCATAGTAAGCTATGTCAAATGACTGGCAGCCAAGAATATTTCTAAAACTGAGTGATGCATCAGAGAAGTTCACCAGCTGTGTTTCTTTACAGTTATATTAGAATCAAACTTGTTTGAGTACAGATTTTTGTTTTACATTGGTTTTTGTCTTCTCAGATTTGTTAAATGTAAGGTTTGTTTAAATAAATATAGACAAGTGATTAAAAAGTAGATTTTCACTCAGAACTAAAACTGCCATGTATAATAAATAACTTTGATTTGGTGTCTGAGCTAAGCCTTTCCAAAAAACCAGCTGATGGCTTGGATGAAGCTAGTACTCTATTAGGAACTAAGTTAAGTGGTAGTAAGAAGACTTCAAACAGTGAACCTACTTAAAAGAAAATAAAATATTCTGATGTATATTTAGTTTTTTCACAAGTAACTACAACTGCCCTAATCCTCTTTTTGTAATACGTAGGGATGTTTTATTGAATGCAGATATGAAACCTTTATTACTGTAGTACCATTTAGAAACCAAGCACTACAGTTACAAACAAAAATTGATAAATGTTTTTTAGTAACTGTCTGAAAGCTCTTATATAAAATCCTATCTATTTTCAGCTAACACAAACAGTGAAAATATGATTTAAGCATCCGACAGGATAAGTTATCATACTGTTAAAAGTTATGAAAACTATACAATTGCTGAAAATTTGATAGTGTTCAATGCATCTTTAGAGAAGAACATATTTAAAATATTTGCAATAGTCTTTTTTCAAACAATATACATTCTTAGATAAACAATGACATGTCTGATGATTTTTGGAGTTGCTTAATTACTGTTGGTTCAGATAAATAGTCTGTTTCTTTTCCTGTGCATGTTGATGAGAGCACAAGTGTATTGAACATTTCAAGATCAAGTCTTAATTTTTGTTTTAAATTTAATATGAATGCAGTTATATATTAACTCATAATCTTTAGTGTTTTAATATAAGCCTAGATCTAATCAATAGTCAACAAATTCATCAATTCACTCATTATTTCATTTCGATTATAGAAGAACTAATATTAAAAATAATTATGGTGCATTATTATGCTTTAGTTTAAATTATGTTTTATCTGTTTATTTATTTGGAATAAGCAATGGAATAATCAGTTTTTGTTTCACTATATTTTTCTGATCTTATGCATCACTATATTTTTCTGATCTTATGCATTTTGGTGGTACTAACATAATACAGTCATAAGATACATAGGAGGAATACTATGAGAAAGGAGTTTAGGGTACTCTGTATTAGAAAGCCTATTAAGGTGTATGCAAGCAAGAAAAGGTTTTGAACTGCTGCTATAGGGTAACTTGGATGTTTATTTCAGTGTGAAATGACGTTTATATTTGATCCTTATTGTAGAGGTGACTTATTGAACGTTTAAAATTGCATGCAACCCATACCTACATGAATAAAATCTGTTGTTGACCATAAGCATATTAATATATCTACATTTTCATATTCTTTTACTGATAATATGAGGTAAATAGATATAGGTTCAATGATGTGCGGATTTCTAATGAAAATTGATTTAATTGGACATGTTCCTTTGCTTGATCACTGAGAGTGTTCTTGTACTTGTACCATATTAAGCCTTTAAACATAAAAAAAATAATGAATTATTTATAAAATGTTTTCATGCTTGCATTTGTTTCATGTACGTAATCTTACATTTGGCCTTAACATTGTGTGTCTGCAAAGCTCAATTTAAATCATTATTAAAAAAAATTATATTTTGCAACCCATGGTGCCAATTCACTTCTGAAATTCACTTTTTTATATGCAGAAATTGGCTCTGGATGTTTTATAGTATTAATTTACTATATTTATGTTTATTTCTATTTTTATTACACATTTGTGTGCAAAATTAAGAGAATTTACTTATTATGTTTATTTTTACAAGAAGAACTGAACCAAAGGTACTAATTAGTTGCAGAAGAATTAAGCAAATATTCAGATTTGAATACATAAGCGTATACATGCGTGTCTGTAGAACTGGAAGGGGATATTAAGTGCACAAGGGATTTTCTATAATTTGAGTGCCTGTTCTCCTTTACAATATATGCTGTGTTTCTTGCAGGAGAAGGATAAATTTTATAAGGTATCAGTTAAAAGGAGTAGCTACAAATGCATTGTTGGTGGAAGGAAATTGAGAATTGTCAGTAGATTGGAGGCAGGCTATTCGCTAGTACAGATGATTATAGTGCTCAATGTAATACCCAGTGTCATCTGCAGTGTGAGCAAGTTTCAGTACCCTGGACCCATGTTGAGAAGAAAGGGAAGAAGGCCAACCAAGATCTACAATGATCGTTATTTGGCACTACAGCATGGCGACACAGGACTGCTACAGCTCTCACATGAGCTGCATGCTGCCACTGGAAGCCAAGTTTAAAGTTCTACAATTGCCTGAAGCCTTCATGAAACAAGGCTGTTTCCCAGAGAATCCGCTGTTTGCATCCCGCTCTTTGCAGCACACAAGAGAGTGTATTTAGCATGTTGAACATGTGCCTTGGACCAGACTTCATTGGAGCACCTTTGCTTTTTACAGATGAGTAGAGATTCAGCCTGGACACTAATTCTCTATATACCTGACTTTTGAATGACTTCTGAGAAATGACCTTTGAAATAGTACATATCTTTTTCTGTTATGAATGTATATTCGTACCAAATATGAGTAAAATCTGTCTGTTAGTTTTTCAGAAATTTGACATAATGAGCAAATTCTCCATATTTTGCACACAAGTGTATTCATTTTATATATTTATGTTTTTTTTTGCATATTTTTTATATTTATTTGTTTTAGAGTTTTATATTTTGGTATATATGATTATGATTGTTTTATCAAATAATCACCAGTTCTTAACTTAGATGTTTCTTTCAGATCCCAGTTTAGAAATTTCTTTAGAAGCATTACCTTCCCCTGCAAAACCGAGTGAACCTCGAAAATCTACAATAGCTGGACGGAAACCTGCTGCTGCCAAAAAAGGGGTAACTGTTTAATTTTGAATAATATACCTGAATATATTGGAAAATAATGTATTGAATTTTGAAATAAAAGAATGTAAGCTGATTGTTTTAATTTACTTAGTTTTGTGATTTTAGTGTTTTTTTTTTTTTTTTTTTTTAATTAGCTGTTTAAAATTTAGGTACTTTATCATTAGTTGGCTGCAAGTGATGAATTGTCAAATTTCAGTGGCATTGCAAGCATTTCTCATCATTTTCTGCAAGGATTTGTAACATGTGTTACTTGATTATGTCACCATAATCCCAATATGCTTAGTTATGATAAAAATTGCCCGCAACAGAAGAACAAATCATGTTATTTTTTTCAAATAAATAAAATAATATATGAAGTAAAATTTAAAAAAAAAAAAAAAAATGTCTGGTAATGAATGCAATTTACATAAAAAATCATGAACTGGTAATCTATTTTAACAGAAAGAATATTGTTGAACGGACATAGTTCAAATTTCTGAGATAAAATTCTTTGATATTTTTGAGTTCATTTTTGGGTTGGTGGGAAAAAAATGATTTCAATGAAAGGTTGTGAGAAGCATTTGTTTGTATTTTTTCTGCTTTTGTAGGCATTTCCATTCTTTAATAAAGGATGGCATGGTGCATCATAACCAAAAGGAATAAAATCTGCTATTGGTTTTGCACCCAGCTAAGGAAAATTACCAATGTTTATTCCAATGTTAATGATTGTAATGTTTTCTTTTTATTAGCAGTCATGGAATGTGGGTTTTAAATTTGATCTAAATTACAATTTAAATTACAAATTAACATTAAAATAAAATCATTCTTTTACAGCTTACTATCTAATTGCTTTTAATAGTTTGTCTTATTTCACATTTGTTAAAATCCTGTTGCTATAATCCTCTGGCTGCTCATCCCGCGATTTCCACGGGCAACTCAAATGTAGCAAAATCTGCTTATACTGCGATTTTTGCGGGCATGTGTTTTTCTTCCTTTATACAGGAGAGCATCTGTTTTTTCTTCCATTTAACCACTGAAATAAATTATATACAGTATTAGACGTTTAGTTTACGCTTTGGCCAACAAATATCGTTAATTGTCCATTAAATTGCGGCGTTTGAAGGCACGTGGTATTACCGCTCAAACTCCATTCTTTGCCGCTTTTTTCTTATAGAAATGACTGCTAGAAAACATTCAGCGATTTTTCTTAATTATTTAATTAAATTCTTAATTAGATTTATTGAATCTGGTGCAAAGACTGAGAAGTTGGTCTTTGCCTTGAACCCTGTTTTGAACTCTGTCTTACAAAACTGCATTTCTAAGAAATTAATTGTAATTCGACTGAAATTGATTAAAAAAAATTTTTTTGGGGGTGATAACATCTGAAATTAGTTTTTCTAACAATTTAGTTTCTCATGATATAAATCTATATAAAATATTTTCTAGAAAGGAAAAATGCATTTTTCAATTCTCCAATATGTATAGATTTAAAATATGAAAAAAAAATTACACAATTTTAGAAGTGATTTTGGTCCACAAATTGAGCAGTCAGAGGGTTAAAGCAGGGATTGTCAACTTTTTTTTTTTTTTTACTTTGACTTTCAAAAGAATGGTTTTCTTCTTTGATCCCTTACATTTTTCTCTACAGTACACAGCATGCAACATAATCATAATACAAATAATTCCACATAAATAACTTAAAAAATTTTTGAAAAAATGGTTTATTGGATTTGTTTTATTTATTTTTTAACTTTATGAACATAAACAAGTTTTCAGAAACAAAATCACAAATTCAGATTGAAAAAAAAAATAAACTTTAATTAATGCAATAGCTACATCTGATGTATTGATGCAATTCTTGTAATACTTGGCATAGCATTGTTTTAATTAATTCTTAAATCACTCCTTTCAAAAGTGTTCAACTTGTTTCTTGTTTTTCGTAATAAATTACCGACTTGACTAAAACCTGCTTCTATTAGGTAAGAAAGGAGGAAAAATCATGGTTCAGTAGCAAATTTTATTTGGGGATACTTCTCTCAGATGACTTTTCAAATATATTAAATAATTTTAATGTATTTTCCTCATTTGTTTATTGTATGATTTCTTCCATATCAGATGATATAACTTTGTATCAATAGCTAATATTTTCTTGCAATCAGTAGGATCTTGATTATGCTAATCGGTTGCCTGTGCATATTTGGCTGTTGACCCCTTGATTATAGCTGATATCTTTAAAATTTCATCGACCCTGAAAGGGTTGAAACCAGCCCCATTGGAAATCACTGCTTTAAAAACACATATAGCATAGACATGAATGGAGTCAGAAAAGGTTTCCAGGTTAAGTAGTTCTGTATAAATTGTAAAAATGATTACTACTATTGTTTCTTTTTCTCTTTTCTTCTTTCTTTTCTTTTTAATCTCTGTTTCTTCCTTGTTTTTGTAATTTAAAATTTAATAATACTGGCATCTTTAAATTGTACTTTTAGCATCAAGCAAGCATGTTCATAGTACATTTATTCAAATATGTAATGAGCTATTGAGTACATATAATTATGTTATACTGAAGATGAGATAAATTTTATAAGTTATTTACCATTTCATATTAAAAGATAATTTAAAATGAGTAATGGAGGTGGAACTTAGATCATTTATCAGTCTTGTCATGGATAAGAGAATAAATGAACAATAATAAAAATTTCTCCTCTCATATGCTTCTCCATTTATATTTCTCCTTACTTTATTTCTCCTCACATAACATCCTGGTTTAAAAGTGCCTGCATTTTTATGAGGGTTTCTTTTTTTCTGCATTAGGCAGAAAAGAGCCTTTGTAGTATGGCTTTCTGAAGGTTTCTTTAGAATATGGCCAACTTGTTTGAAAGTTCTGACACCATTCTAGAGATAGCTTTTTTATGGTGTTGAAAAAACAGAGATCAGGACTCAAAGTGCTATTATATACGGTATAGCTTCTCAGCTGTTATGTACAATAAAAGTTTATATTTCTCCCCATGATATGATAAATGTCAGATATCTTCAGTACAATTAATTGCACAGCTTTATATCTTCTTGTGGTACATAGAATTTTTTATGGAAGTTTTATTATTGATATGTGGAAGTTTACATGCTGCATAATAAGTTTATTTATAAATTTAGATTACTGAACTATTCTGGTAATTTTTAACAGGAAAGTATTGTACCAAATTGGCTGTTTTAAATTATAATATTGAAAAAAAAATTAGTCTTAATTTTTTTAATGGATTAATTAAAAAAATAATTTGTCTGCCTTTGTAGACTAAGAGATAATAGAAACTGATAGTTAAAAGTATGATGGGTGATTGAGTTTGAACTGTATTTTTATAATTTAGCAACTATTTTAAGATGTTTAATAACATGGATGAATTATGACTGTATTATAATAATTATAATAATATGATTCTTCTGGCACATTTTAAAATTGTACTCAACATATACTAGCAAGACAGATTTGCAAATAGTACAGTTATGAATTTATAATTATTTATAGAAATTGTTAGGACAATTATAGGAACTTGTTATTGGTATGTATTGGTTATCCCAGCTTATATATCTCTTGGCAACAGTTTTTTTGGATCAAGAAAGAAAACATCAAACATAACCAGTAATGAAAATAAACAACAAAATAATTCAGAAAACATATTTACTTCAGAAGAATTGCATGTTGTGTAAAAGATAAAACACAAAATAAAAATAAATAAATTTCCAATAAAATTTACACTTTTACTCTTTTGTATTTCTACAAAATAGAGAAACCATGCCAAGGTTAATTATGGACAATGTGGCCGAGAGCTGAATGATATTTACAGAATGTTGAATATTCATTCTCTTAATAGATAATGGTTAGAATGTCATGGGAGATGTTTTGTTGCCAAATTTACATGAAAACATGAGCTTATTGCGTATTAGGATCATACTTTTTATGTTTTAATGTGTATAGTAGTTGTTATTTGCTTGATTTTTCTGTAATGAGGGGGGAAAAAAAAAGATTTGCAAGATAATAAAGGTTGGCAAAAGAATAATTTATCATGTCAAGAATTATATTTTAAATATTCTAATTTTTTCTTTCAGATGGGGGGCAAAAAAGGCTTGGGGGCCCAGCGTGTGACAGCAAATTTTGAGGACATAGAAAAAGAAGCTGAACAACTAGATCGTTTAAGGGAACAAGCAGAATCAGAAGCAGCAACTCCAGTTCCTGTTGAAGAGCAAGAAAAGCAGATGTAAGTAATTAGGAAATTATGAAAGAGGAATAAAAATTAGGAACTTTTTAAAATTATTTTTTGGCTTTGCATACTGTATAAGATTGTTGTTACACAGCCACTGATAAAATTAAAGAATCCGAATACGCTTTTAAAAATTAAATCATGCAGTAAAATCTCTGTTGTTTGAGACTGGAACTGTAATCACTTTGGATAAATAGAAAAGTTGTTTAATAGAGACTAGATCTTAAATTATATTTTGACAAGGTTTTTGTAATTGTTTATTTGAAATTCTAAAAATAAGTGCATGAATGCAATAATAAATGTTTTATATGAGCCAGTTTACTTTAAGGAGTCTTCTGTGAAGCCATGCCTTCCTTTAGAGCCCTCTTGTGTTTTGCTATAATAAAAAGAAACTAAAACCAAGTCTTCAGCATGTCTAATTTTCACTTTTTTCATTTTCATTGTCCTCAGCAAGATTCTAGTTTTTCTTATTGTTCTGATCTGTGTTGAGAACGATTTCTTCGTTCACTCAAAATTTGAAAACTTAGCTCTTTATTTTCTGAATTTGTCCATTCTGAAACATCATCCTTTTATTACCATTTGAAACATATGTTCAGCTTAATTGGTGGTCAGTGTTGATTTCATTTTTAAATGTAATGACATGTAATGTCATGTAAATGACATTTTTTTGTGTGCTAATGCTGAATAGAAAGTCTGTTACTGATAAAATTCAGGAATGTTACTGATCTTTGCTATACTCTTTCTAATGCTGTTATATATTCTCAACTATTTCATTAACCCTCTAACTGGCAATACCATATATAAATATTTGGCCTAGAATATTTTTTGATGTCTCTAAGAACATATATATATACGTGCATATTAAAATATGTCAAAGGAACTAAGGCAATATATTAAAAGTACCTAAATCCAGGTATAAAATATCAGGAGAACATTTACATTAAAAATCAAAAAAATAATTTTTTCTCATGGTAGTTTTGAGAAATTTGCGCTTTCATAGCGAAAACCCTGTTCTATCAGAGGGATAATTGATTACCATCTTGGTTAGTAGAGACCTTGGTTGAAAGAGGCCCATTGAATAGAGATTCTGCAGTACTTCCAACAGCATTATTTTATCATTCTGAAATTACTTTTGTGTTAAAATGAAATATTTTGTGTTATGCCAGTATATATTCATTGAGTATGTCAATATTTTTATTTTGTAAAAATATAATTTCATGAAACTTCTTAAGAATAGAAATTTTGTTACATTAAAAATGGAATATTGTGTATATTTCCAGAATATAGAAATTTTTTCTCTAAGCATTATTGTTTGGCATGGCTTTATTGAGAAAACGTAATCATTTTTTCCCAAAGACATTTTTAGGAAAATTGAAGTAATTTCTCTTTTTTTAAAAAAAATTTCATTTTCGGCAAGTAATATTATTAACACTTTGATTAACTTATAAACTCTTCCCGCTTATTGGAAACAATCAGGTCAGCTGAATATTGGCATAGTGCTATCTTATTTTCCTCCTCAGATGATGAAAATTTGAAGCTCTTCATTAATAGAGATAAGTTTGATCTTTTTCCTATTTGTACCATAGTCTATTTGTGGAGGTACCCATCTCCAAGCAAAATGCATACGTGTTGAAGAGTTTTAAATCAGACAGCGATATTAAATCGGATACACTATACTTAAAAGCTGAAGATAATGGCTGTAGAAGTATGTAAGATTTATTTTAACATGCTGTTTTATTACATACAGAAAAATTGAATTGAAAAGGCTTTATAGGTTAGTATAGGTTACCTTTAACTTTCTTTATTAATACGAGATTAGCAGCATAGCACAAACCAGTCCATATATTTCAACCATGTTTAGTTTTTAAAGACCCTCATTTTTCAAAGAAATCTTCTAGATTTTTCTAGAAAAATAATAGGTAAAGAAATAAATAAAAATGTAAATAAAATATTTTTGTAAAATAAGCTTTTATTTTAATTTCATAATAATTAATGAACTAATACTTTAATGGTAAGATGAAAATAAATAATTTTCAATAAAAAATTTCATCTGCAGTGTTATATTACGAATAGAAAAGTGTTTTTGCTAAAATAACAAAATTTATTAATTGCTAAAAGTATAAGCCATTGTGTTATAAATGTATTGATTATTTGATATGTGTCTATTGAAAGATAATTTCCTTTTAGATTTTAAAAGTGTATCATTTATTTACAGAGCATCAGTTCGGTTAGCGTACAAGGACTTGAGTTTACAACAGAAAAAAACAGAAGAAAAACTTCGTCAAACGAATCCCCAGAAAGCAGAGCAGTTGGAACGTCTTGGTATGGGTTTTGGAGGCAGAAATGTGGGTTCTGTGGCTCATTCTGCAGCTTCTGAAATGACATTGATTACTCAAGAAACGCCATCAAATGCTCAGAAAAATCGAGATGTTGATTTAGATGATGATTTTGAATTCATGAGTTTCACTAGTGGACCTCCTAAGTATGTTTAGGTTGGGAATTTGGTTCCTATCTTTCATTTGATGCTTTTATTACATATCAGTAATAAGTGAATCAGTATTGTATAAAACATAAATAAGTAGTTCTGTTAATTGAGTAATTGGGTATTTTCATATTTCTCTAGAGACGATTTTTGACAAATAAAAATTGTTGCCAAACAGCGAGATTTAATACCTGTGATGGACAAGTGTTATATATCATAATAAACTCATAAGATCTTTACTGTAGTTTTATGTAAACCCTGATCCTCAATAAACAGTTGCCTTCTATAGAACAACAAGCAGTGGAGTATTATTGAAGTTACAGAACCATTAATGCTGATGCACATTTCAGAACTTTCTAAGACTTGGGGTTTGGCAAAATAGCATAGTAAAAGACTATGGAGCCATGCAACACCTCTTAGATTTTCATTTAAGAGAATGTATGTGGAAGCTATGCAAAGAAGGTGTCAGTTTTGTTGCTTTTTAAATGGCATTAATGATTTTTGGCCTCCAAAATGATTGCGATTAGTTACAGAGAACTTTTATTTGGTAATCTTAAGAATTTTAGCTCATAAGTTTTTATGCTGTATCAGTAACTTAGATATGTTCATTATCTAAATAAAGACAGGGTATGAAACCTGTCCTTCCTTAATTTTAATCATCTGAAATTGCTGTCTGTTTTTATGACTGCCATTTTGAGTGTGAATTAGCATTTTGGAGGAATATTTTTGGCCATCCACTGATGTATATATGGTTCTCTTTTGAATGGGTTCATGACTTATAATTTGTTTCTATTTCTAATATAATGATGGGATACTCGAGTTTCTAAGCAAGAAGTGAAACCTAAACATTTTGAAATTCTTTTTCTGTAATAAAGAGCTCTCAAACAACTTTTCACTTTTGGGGATATGAATTCTTTTATTAAACTGTTCTAAATTTGGCGACTTTTGAACATTTTGGCGATTTTAAGATAAGTTTCTATAGAAACGTTTTAATTCCAAGATCTGAGAATTTTTCGACGATTTTTTTTTAAACATTGTAACATTGATTAATTTCATTAAAATAATGGTAAGTAATTGAAAGAATTTAAAAAATAACATTAAAATAAACTTTTTATTTTCACCGTCATTTATTCATTTTGGCAATTTATTATACAATATTTGAATTTGAAAACAAACAAGGTATAATGCTATAAAGACAATTTAAGAACAGCTCATAGCAAAAGCAAAATTAGCTAGTAATTAAGCTATGTAATAATGTTTTTTTAAATTTTTTATAGTAAGGAGTTTTCCCATGTAATTATCTCAGAATATTCAAATTCTCAGAAGATAGTTTTTTCTCTATAAATTAATTTACACTTTTTCCCTCCTTTTTTTCTTTACAAAATATTTCAGGCTTTTTGTTGTTACAGAATTGGTAGGGATGATTTTTCTTTAGAATTTTAGACGTTGCAGCTTGGAAAGTTTAGAAGGATTTGAAGGCAAGATTTATAGATCTATAGAATGTATATTGTAGAAGATTCGAGAAATATGTGACAAAATGAAAAATTTCTCCATGGTAACAACATTTGTATGTATTTTACAGATTTATTTGGATGTAATTTACAGAGAGTTTGCAGGGAATTTCTTACTTTTTGGAGAAAGTCCTGGAAGAACAATGAAACATAATATTTGAATGTTTACTTTAATACTAAATCTTAACATGTTATCTTCCCTTTATTTTCTCTACTTTTTTACTAGACACAAGCATGGAAAATATCAAAAATGCTTCTAATCTTATCACATGGGCAGGCATTATAGAAAGGGATTTTTTTATTAACCCCTTCGAGCCGGGTAGCGAAAGCGCGTGCATATCGTGGAGGCCGGCAGTGTCTTCCGCGAGCGTCTCTCCAGGGCCAGGGGCTTTTTTGCTACTAAGCCTAAATCCATGAAATTTCAGAAGTATCAACGCATTGTTTAATAATGCTGTATAGAGTATTTAAATGGCTTATTGCTTTATAGATATTTTTATATATATACTTTAATACCTTATTTTCTTGTCTAAATGCATATTTTACATATTATTTTAATTGCTCACCATTTTATGACTTTTAACTTATACATCTGAAAATTAAATATATTACTTAAAATTCTTTTCGTATGAAAAATTTGAAACAGGGATCTACACACAGTCCTATTTACATTCTTGAACTCATAATAACTCATTTGCCGTTTTGGAGGATTTTTTCCGGATGTGAACAAACGAAGCATCGTCGTCTCATTTTCTATCAGTCTCTTTCTGAACAAGTTTTGGAAATTCTTCAGAATCAATATCTGAAATTTGCATCATTTCTGTATTTCATGTCTGTTAAACATTTTCGACGCTTCGGCATTGAAACGGTAAAAACAGAAGAATTCACATCTAACAGATCTAATTATTTTCTAAAAACTGACTGTAAACCGAAATACTCAACGCTTTATGCATATAAAACTCTACTTACAATAAACAACTACCACGTGCGAATAAGTGCGATTAGAGACGTCATAAATCACCCATTTGGAAACATAGTTCCCCGTTTGTTTATATAATCAAAAACACGTGTATGTGGTCATGCTTCTCTCATTTCGAGTAGAAAGTCTAATGTACATGTATCTGAAACCATATGGGCATACAGTGCCATCTTGTGCAGAAATTATAGTTTGGAAAACGTTCCAAGATACTGGCACAAATATGTGACATTCGGTAGAAAACGCAACAATGCTCTGGCACGCCTGCGTGTCGGCCGGTAGATAAGTGCAAATCGTTGATGGCACGTATACGTGACAGTCGGCGCGAAGGGGTTAATAAAGGAATTGAAAACCTACAATTTAAAAGATTCATCTAATATGTCTTAATGCATCATACATATAGTCGGCACTAGGCATTTCCCACCTGATGCAATCTCTCTGGATCCTAAATTCTGCTTCCAATGCCTGCTCTAAATTCTAAAAGATTTTCCATTTCTAGAATTTGTTGTTCGGTGTGTCACTAAATTCTAAAATTCTGCCAATCAGCTCTGTACCGGCCTTTCATATATATTTTCATATTCTTCCGAGTTCATATTACTAAAATAAATTAGCCACTTTTTTCTGAACATTCTAAATGCATTAGTGTTTTTTAGAATAACAGAATCCTTAATTAAATCCAAAAATTCTAAAATGAAAAGGAACTTTTGAGAAAAACTGAGTAAGAATAACTGAATACATAAAAAATTATTCTTCAAAGATATGTGCAGTTATTATTATGTAATTACCCATTGTTTATGATTTCAGCCTTTACTATAATTTCCATTTCTATTTCCTCATATGATAGAGTTACTGATCCAATTAAATTAAAATTAAACTGTATATCTTTGACACTAGTCCACATTATTAGTTTGAATTTGACTGTTCTTGTTTAATTACGTCACCGTGAGCTGTAGTTGATTTTGTTAGCATCAGAACATGCCTTTATGTTCTAAGCTCTTTTTAAATAAGTGGCTTATTTAAACCTTTGTCTTTTCAGACATAGCAATAATATGCTTCATGCCTGTTGGGGATTTTGGACTATATAACTTTTACCAGATCAAATAAACCCTCATAGGTATATTGTGTAGAGGTTGACAAGTTAGAAGATAAAGCACGCAGAGACATAGAGCATAGGTTTGGCATATTGAAACAATCTCTAATTGTTAGAAAAGATGCTTAA